GTCTCCAGAAGCTCCCACACGGGTGCTTCGTTCACGCTCCCGCGTTGGATTTACGCCCCAGTGTCTTGTGGGTCAGACTTTTGAGTCAAAGGTTCGGGTTAGGATTCCCAAAGAAAACCCCCTTCGTCGGTGTGGGTTACCGCGAAGTATGTCGTGCCCTAAAGTCTTGGGCACCCATTTAGAAATCGATCCTCTCCTTCTGACTGGTTCTTCTTCTCAACCTCGAATAATCCCAGATGCCTCCTGTTTACGCCACTCATCGAATATCACTCAGCGTTTTACCATCAAGGCCAGAGATTCAGAAGCTATAGGGTTTTTAAAGCCAAAATCCCGTTTCCACTTGGCCGCGTTCAATGTCCGCACGCTCTATCAGATTGGCCAACAAGTTGCCCTGGCTAAAACTTGAACTTCTCCATTTTCCTTTCGAATCCACTTTCAACTTTCCTTTTTTCTCCTATTTTTCATACCAAAGGGCAGCTAAAAGACAGCAACCAAAACCGGCGCACGAAAGTGCATGGTTAATGGTTGTTCAAACTGAAAACTGAAACATGAATTATAATAAATGGTACAGATACACAAGGGCCAGATTAAAGGAGAGAAACGAGAATGCCACTCATAAATCTATCAAATGTTGTTTTCATCATCATCTACGGTGCTCTAGCCGCCATCTCAATGGAAACAATCTACCGTCATCCCACTTCAGAAATCGGGTCCAGCCCATGATCCATCAAACTACCTCCCAATTAAACATCTTCCTATCCTTTTCAGAATAATGGAAGAAATTGTTAAAAGTCAACTTTCTGACTACCTGCTCAATGAGAGCCTCCTTAGCAAGAGTCAACATGGCTTTCTTAAATTTCGACCGTGCCAAGCGTGCCAATTTGGCTTTTGAAACATCCTGACTAAATCAGTGGATTCCAATAAAGCTTACATAGTCGTATACCTGGATATGACCAAAGCTTTTGACAGAGTTTTGCACCCACGGCGTATTATCAAAGCCCAAACTTATGGGATAGGCAACCCCTTTCCTCTCATGGCTTTCTTCTTACCTTTCAGACCGCTTTCAAGTGGTTTCGATAGAAAATGCCTCTTTCAATCCACAATCTGTTACCAGTGGTGTTATGCAAGCTAGCGTACTAGGCCCTTATTGTTCCTTATGTATAATAATGACATTTCAAAATCTATTCATTATGGACCCCCTGTCTTTTCACCGTTTACATTAAAGTTGTTTACTCTTTGTCACCAAATGGGCTAATAAACGTCCTAGACGACATTTGGTCAGACCTTCTTGCTCTTGATCGTTGGTGTTCCTTGTGTTCGATGACTTTCTCGACAAACANCGTCCAATAAACCATCTTCCTATCCTTTCTAGAATGATGGAAAAAATTGTAAAAAGGCAACTTTTTGTTTACCTCCTAAATGAGAACTATCTCAGTAGGAACCAACATGGCTTTCTTAAATTTCGCTCCCGTCAAACGTGCCAATTCGACTTTTAAACCATTTTACTAAATCTGTGGACTCTAATAAAGCTTATATAGTAATATACCTAGATATTACTAAAGCTTTTGACAGAGTTTCGCACTCACGGTTAATTACCAAAGCCCAAACTTATGGGATAGGTAACCCATAAGTTTGGG